CGTGTGATGGCTGGGTTTCTCCCCTGTGTGACGCTACACAGGTACACAGGAGTGAAGAAATGAGAGGAGGACTAGATGGCTGAACACTGTCAAAACACGCGTGCGAGCCTTATTCAATAAAAGCAGGTGTTTCCAATTGGAGATCGTCAGGAAGGTGTAAATTCCTCAAATGCAATAGAGTCGAGTCGGGAATCTGCTTTTTTTCAGCAAGCCTCCAGGTGACTTTTACACCCACTCAGGTTGAAAAATCAGTAGCCTGGAGGACATGTGTCCACATTAGAGCCTGAGGGACAGCAAAGCGTTCATATCGCCCATTGCCCAGAATCATAGAGGAAGGTGGACAGCTGCACCAGGATGCCCCGACTGGCCACTGGCATGTGCAGAGGGCCCCAGGACACCTTGAGTTAGGTCGGTCCTCACACACAGACACTGCTCGATTGAAAGGATGCCCCAAAAGGCCACCAACAGTGACGCTGACTGCCCTGCATTTCCGCTGCTCCCCTCTGGCCCGACCCCATGTATCTGTGTACATATTCAATCAAAGCAACATCCAGAAGTGGAAGGAAAGAGCACCACCTTTCCTTGTGATAATTGTTCTTCATTAAAAAAAATAAGAAGTATTCGTGGTGGTTTCTAGTGAATTCTGAAAGGCATCTTTTCCTGCAATGGGCAAAGGACCTAGCCAGCCAGCCAGCCAGCCAGCTGAGGGCGCGTGTGCCTCTGTAGCCCCTGATTTTGGTGTCCACTGTTCCCACTGGCACCCCTCACACCCTCAGTTCCTGCAGCACAAATATAGTTAGAGCGGAAAGACAGCTACGGTTTTCAGTTTTGATGAATTACTCAGTCCAATTTAGATATTTCTCCTCTTAACAGACTTCAGGTTAGTATATAGTTCGTAGTTCTGTGGGAGAGCCCTGCAGCCACCTGAAGAACTGATGTCTATTTGAAGGCATTTCTCAAGGTTAAAAACGATTCTTTTCATTTATGAGTGACTATAAGTTGTCCCCCCCACCATTTATCTGCCCCACATTGACTTTCTCACATCAGGAGGAGAGCATGTGAAGTAGAAAAACAAAACATTCCAATTGTACACAATTTTTGGTCTGTGTCTTGAGATAACAAGCAATGTCTCAAAACCCACACATTGTTTTCCCTGAATTAAGGCAACAAGAAGATTCTTGTTACATCATGTTTTTCTTTTTACTGTTTACTAATTAGGAAAAAAGAGAAATTTCTCTCTCTACCCTTTAGTATATGTATTGTTTAACTTTTAAGGAATTATATACATAACATGTATGTATATATGCCAAATCAGCAGAGGAGTCGGCAGAACGGGAACTTGAAATGGCTGTTACACATTTAAAGCCTCCCTTACCAGTAATCCAAGAAATACAAGTTTTGGAAACTGCAGTGTAGCTTTTCTGGCATTCGATTTGCAAAGATTGAACCGGTAGATTGAACCTTCCAGAGCAGGAGCGTGTGGCGGAGGGCATGGCATTGCCCTCTTGGTCCAGGGAGCAGACGTAACCTGTGCGCACTGCTTGATTCGCCTCAGGCTGTTTGTGTCATGTTTCATGAGGGTTTTTGTGTTCTTGTTGCCGGCAGAGCTACTCTCTCCTTGACATGCGGCCGCCGCCGCCTGCAATGGTCACTCTGAGCAGTTCCATGTACTGGCAAGAACTTGAAGATACCTGTGTCTACGAGTGTCTGGACGGCAAAGACTGTCAGAGCTTCTTTTGCTGCTACGAAGAATGCAAGTCAGGATCCTGGAGAAAAGGGCGGATTCACATAGACGTCTTGGAGCTGGACTCATATTCCCGGGTTTTCTTCCCCACTTCGTTCCTGCTCTTCAACTTGGTCTATTGGGTGGGATACTTGTATCTCTGAATGCTCCTCCTAGTGATGAACGAAGAGTGTTAGGTTCCCCTCTTTATCTTTCACCCTCCCCAGACCAGTAGTGACCAACTGGAGTAGCAAGGAAAGACACTGCTCAGTGTATCTGAAGTTGTACATTACCTTTGGATAGCGCAGGAGCACGTGGCAAATATTCCTGTTACGTATTTCAAACTCACACACACATACACACAAGCTAATTGAGTTTTAAAGAGATGTTCTTGTTACTCCCTTACTGAGTCTGTAGCTTGGTGATGGTTATGAATGGTTTTGGATATTGGAAGCAGCTGCCAATGTTCCTTGCAAAGAAATCTGTGAAACATGCAAGCAGATGTCTGAGAAGCTCTCTCGGGCCCCGACCCTTCTGCGTCTCTCCCTTGCAGCCCTCCACAGCACCGATGCCCACGTGTGGGGAGCCACTGCAGGCCAAGACACACGCATGCTGGAGCTCAGTGCCCTCGCAGTCGAGCTCATGTGTGACTGCAGTGAGCTTCCACCCCATTTCCTTTCTGTGGTCTCTTTCGCTCTGGCACCAAACCACCTTCATTAGTTGGCATTCCTTTATCTCATAGCCCCAGCCTGGGCTGGGGAATGGTGTGTATGCTTCACCTACAATTGTTCAATTGAGGAAAAAGTCTGATTTTCAAAATTCTCATATTGCTGAAGTCAAAGATGTTTATTACCTCTGAACATCAGAAGGTTGTTAACTTTATTCCAAATTATTGAAAGTTGCTGGTATTCAAGCTTTGGGTTCTTGGACGAGTTCACTTTGAGTTCAGCACTTCTCCTTAGGAGTTGTGCTTCTCCTAGACCAAGGTGTAACCCCAGAGCATATGCTCTTGTGGGCTCCAGGAGTATCTGCATCTTGCGAAGAAATGTATACAACATTCACAAGTCTTTGTTTTGCTGTTTTCCAGAGTATGAAAGAAATGTAGATAGAATTTTTAAATTTTTTTCTTAGTGAATATTAACTTTCAATTCAGATCAACTTTAGATGCAAAAAAATGAGTAATGGCTATCGTCAATGATATATTTTGATGAACAAAAATTATTTTATACTTTGCGATATGGATATGTAGCAAAATTCCAAAGAAAAAAAATTCCTTAAAATTATTACTCTTTTGATATTTTTATAACACAAAGTCAACCTGCTTCTTGAAGTTAGTTCTTTGTTATAACTGGATGCTAGTATGTGCTTCACGAGACTCCCTGAGAAGCTTTCCGCCATCGATAAGAAAAGAAAAAGTCCTGCCAATAGGTTGACATATGCTTTGGCATCATTCAAAGTTTGGTACTAAAATTTTGGTACCAGAATCTCTGTACTTCTCATCTTTCTCACCCAGAATATTGAATCTTTTATTGGAAACCATAAAATTTTATTTTAACTATGTATTGTACATATAATTATTACTCAGAAAAAAGATGAAACATTGTGCAGAAAAAGTATATGAAAGCGCTCATTTCATACAACTTACTGAATGCAGACTAAACACAGAAGGGATGGGAGCGGAAGAGAGCAGAAAAGTTGAAATTAGATGAGTCTGTTTATTTTTATGAACATCATTTCATATGAAGTGAATGCAGGCTTATTGATCTTTATCACCCAGTTTTCGAGGATTAAGTCTGTAAAATATGAGACATTGAGTTTCTTCCTATCAGCTCTCTCCCTGCGTTTTGATTTGATAGTTGCTACAGAGGCCACAAGCCGATTGGCTTCTATTTAGAAAATCCAATTTAAAACACAAAATAAGAATGAATATTTGTGGAGAAACAGGTCGAACCTAGTGGCCTAGATGACATTTCTGCTCTGTTGGAGAATTCCGCCTGCTAGCAACCTTGTCCTGTCACGCATCAACCTTGTCCTGTCACGCATCATGCTTCACCTCCTCCTGTCATGCATCACACCACAGGGAGAAGGCCTGGAGGTGCCCTGATCAACTCCCAGCAGAGCGCTGAGCACCCAGGAAGGGACGCCCAAGCTGCTGCTTCTTCAAACGCGATCCCCAACTTTATCGTTTCTAACAATGTGAAGAATTTCAGTCTGTTATTTCTTTTTTTAAAAAGTTCTGGAGGAAACTTAATTTTCTAGTGGAATTCTTCTTGGGAGAAAAATAACCTAACATCATTTTTATGACATAGATTTAGTACAATTTACCTTTAAAACTTTTATAGATGTCTGTTGATTCAAGGCCATTAAATATTTGAGCATCGCTGGCAACTCCAATGAAGTTATACGTATAGGATCATCTCTGTTTCCTGAATCCAGCCGTCCTCTTCTCCCCAGCCTCAGTTATTCTGCTGGTCTGAACACACTAGTTCATGGTCCTTTCCCATGAAAGAAAATATTCACCTCAAGAGAATCTAATAGTTATTCACTCACAGAGCATAAAACGGAGTTCTGCACATAGAGAAATCTGTCCACTGTGGGGATCTCACTTAACAAGAACTCAGACGTCCCCTGAGAACCAGCCAATGCCTGTTTTGTCTGCAGCCTTGCCTATTCAAGTCATCTTGTCGATCTCAGCTTCAGAGATGAGCCTTTTCCATCTACAGTAAAGGAAAGTGTCGTGCACCTTTCGCAGGTACAGAGCCCAGGGGCACACTTGTTAAGTATGTATGAGTTTATTTCCTGGAGGAAGAGGGTGGGCACTGGGAGAGTGTGAGGGAAATGCATCCCACTCAGCAATGTGCTCGGCTAGTCGGGCATGCACGCAGAGCGTAGTGCCAGGCTGTTCTGTACAGGTGTGGCCCCTCGCCGCCCCAGCCGCGTTGCAGTTAGAACGGGGAATGAGCGTTGGTGGCTGCGTGGCGGCTGTGGGGAAGTTGTCTGAGTCACCTGCATTCCAAAAGTGCTGCTGCGTCCTTCGCTTTTACAAACACTAAATTGAGGGGATGACTGTTCCACATTTTGACAAGAATTTCTAATTTCTGACCACCATGGATCGTGCTTGCAAACATGACTGTCTCTCTTTGAAGCTGCATCTGGCCTGAGAGGGAGAGAAAAAGACATTTCACACTAACTGAATTAGAGCAAAATGCCTCTTCAGAGCTTACAAATTTTCAGTTTCTGCAAAGTCTCAACACAGACCAGAACAGAGACTCTCAGACACAGAACTGAGAACAACAATGTTACTGTAATTTACTCTGAACCCAGCCAATACTGCCCCTAATTTACCCAACATATGCCTTAAAACAACACATAAAGCTCAAATCATACACGTCTTGTAGATTTCCCGTTTCCTGTGATCACCTGTATTTCCTGCCAGGTTTTATGTATCATTTATAAATAGATGGAGAAAAGATTTCTTTACATGCCCAACAGTCTTACCCTTAATTGTACTATGAAGTCAGTTAAGAGCTCAGTTTTTGCAGATTCTTCAATTGAGGAAATGCTTGTCCTTTATGGCAAAACATTTTCAGGTTACATATAGAAAACGGGGGCAAATCTAAGTCAGTGACGCAGTGCTGTGATCAGTGCTTGTGATGGGATGTTAGTGTTCATACAGAACCTTCACACCAAGTCTTTTTGCCTGGTCATAGCTCTCTGCGGTAAAAGTGTTTAGGCTTTTTTTTTTTTTTCCTGCTTTGCAAAATACCACACTCTGGAAGCAAAGGCGGGTAATCAAAACTCCATTTTGCATTGATGCATACTCGCCACGACAGGGCACTCTTTGTCTAAAGGGCTAGAACACAAGAGAAACAAAACCTCATCTTTGGTTATTTTTACCTTGGCTGCCAATAACTGAAAACATTCTGTTTCCTTTGCTGACTTGAAGAACTCTAACACGTCTCCAGCCACTACACCTATCATCCCAGATCAGTGCTCTCAAGATACAAAGCATTTCTCTCCATGATCTTGCAACTGTCTGAGTGCTTTTTCTGAAAGTTTATATACATATATACACATGGAATTTCATCTTCAATTTCTGTAAAAAGAAAAAAGTGAACGACTTGGATGAGCGATTCGATGTAAATATACCTTGAAATGTTTACTACTAGACATAGACTTCAGAACACCAACACTTTAAAAATACTCGGAAAGGTGTCTGTAAGTAAGAGTGAAAGGACCAGACTGTGAACACACCATGATGTGACGTTTACAATTTACTGCTGAAGCCCTCCTCGAATTGCCCCAAATTGAGAAAGTGTGTAATCTGTACATGTTTCTTTTTCTTAAATTTGCTTGTAGGAAATCTTCAGTTCACACAGTTTAGCAGTATCACATCCAAAGAACCAAAAAATAACAGTTCAGACTAAATGACAGGCACTCTTTCAAATTTCTTGTTGACTTACATTTACTATAAGAAGAGGTTTCTGTCATCATGGGGAGAAAACATGTATATGTTGAGATAATAGGAAAATAACTCAGCCATTCGTATCTGGAAAGATAAAATCTTGGCTTTCTGAAAAAAGTCTCTGATAGTCTTGAAGAAAGACTAGACTTTAGGGCATTTCCACTTCTCCCTTTAAATTTTCTTGTGATTGCAAGCCGGCGACTCCTGGATATATGCCTAGTCTAGATCTATTAAGGTCAAAAGGAGGATGTTTCCTATTTTTTTTCCATAATGCTTATTACTCTGCTCATGGAAAAACTAAATGTTAGACTAGTTTATATCAATTCTAAGAAATTAATTGAACAATCACGAACAAGTTTTCAACGTTTTGAGTTAACCAAGTGGGTTTTAATAATTGTATTATATAGGAACATGGACTCAAAAATAATTAAGATACAAAACACAGGAGCAAGCCCACATGCACAGGCACACTTCTCACACACAAAGCAAACACCACTTGGATGTAGCATGTAGATAACGGGAGGGAAATGTAAATTTGTTTGGCTTAAATTATTCAGAATCACCTACCTCCACCACTTCACTTTTTGCGTTTGTAAACGCCACACCAAGTTTTCCCAGCCCAGCGGGCTGCTCTGCAATGTGAGGGTGATAATGGTTCCTGTGGGGAGGGCCTCCTGTATCCGCTGAGCAGTTTACACTGATCAGGTCGGAGAGAACAGTGAAGGCTAGGTGCCAGTGATGACATCCCCCAGACTGAGAAGGTGGCAGCTCTGTTTTTCTCTTTTCTAGTTACTTGAGATTCTTTATTTTTCCCACTGATCACTTTTTCACAAAGGTATTAAAGTTCCCATTTTCTACTTAAAAAGTAGATTCTTAACTCACTGTCAGACTGATTTTCAGGACCCAGTGATGAGCGCTTTGATTTGGTCAGTTCTTATTACAACAGGTTTTTACCTTGTACTATTCATGTTTGTAACAGGAAGGATTTAGAATGTCAGTTTTGTCAACTGACAGGTGACAATCCCCGCCCCCAACACACAGAGCAGCACTCCAGTCACTCGTGCGGAGGCCAGACCACCCGTCACCTCTCTAGCTGTGGCAGTTCCAGTCAGCCCATCCGCCAGTCGGCTCACCTGCCCTGTTCACCGAGTCCATGCACTGCTCAGAGCAGTGTGGCCCTGGAAGCCACAGAGAGATAAAAAGAGAAAAAACACATTCTAGAGTGACTTTCAATGTAACTAAAAGATAAGTAATGACAGAAAATCCGCATGGCTTGCTGATGCAATTTTCAGCTTGGCAGCAGGACAGATAGGGTCTTAGAAGAAATGAATTATGTTACATCCCCCCCATCATCACCGTCATCACTGTCACATTATCTGTGTCCTTTTCCTGCTCCCATACTAGCCTTTAGCTATTGATGCAACACAGAGGTTTAATGTCTTTCCCAAACCATAACAAACTTAGAAGTTAAGAAAGAAAATGGAAAAGTTTCATTTCAGTTTAAATATTAAATACTTAGATCATAGTTCAAAATTTTGCTTGCCTAAAACATTCCCAGAATCGCTCTTTGCCCCAGAAGTTTGGTCTCGCTACCCTGTCACGATCAGAATTTGAAATTATTCCTTAAAGAGTACTTCACCTGATTGCTTCCTGGTTGCTTGTGGGTTTTTTGTTTGTTTGTTTGTTGTTTCTAGCACTTGGCATTTTTATTCCTTCTCATGGAGTTAACATTTAATTTTACCTGAGAAGTATCTCATTTCCCTAAAATGAATGCTTCTGTGCACACCACGCCTCAGATTTTGTTAGCCCAAAAGGACAATCAATACACTTCTTATACAATTTGGGTCTCGGCTTTGATTCCTTCCAATGTATCTTGAGATCTTTACTTCTGGATAGAAATAGATGCAGGTGAAACATACTGATGAATTTCCAGTGTTTACTATTATACTAGCTGTTTAGAATAACTCTATTAAAACATTAAAAAAAGTTTCAATCATTCTTGACCTTCAAAATGACTAATTTTGTTCTAGTAAACAATGTTTACCTGCATATGTGTAGTACTACATGGTATGTTTTTCTTTATAAGCAGCTCCTGGACGAAATGAAAGATTCATTCTTCATGAGCGCATTTTCTGTGGCAGATTCTAAGAGAGTAAACGTTTGCAGGAATTGGGCCTGGGTTGTCTTGTGAGGGGCAAGGCGCCATCTTGTGTTTACACGGAGTGATGTGTGTATTTGTGTCCCTGTGTACAGTGGTAAAACTGGAACAATCTATTAGCGTGTGTATTACTCTACCTACCACCACAAATGTAGCTGAAAAAAGTAGAAAGGAGCAGAGTTTCCTAATGATAGCATATTAGCTTCCTAAGCTTCTTGTTAAGGAAAAAAAGAGGGAGAGAGAGAGAGAGAGGTAGAAGGACTGACAATCCTTATATTCCTTGAAAATGTGGAACTACATTCTTTCTTTAAAAAGAAAGTCAAGTATAAACACTTGATCAGAAGTTGTTCTGGAGTCCAAACCAGCCTGCCTCCGGCTGAGAGCATCAGATCATCATGTTTTTACTAGGGTGCACCTGAGCGACTCCTTGGTCATTTGAGCACCGCCGTCTATTTTAATTGATAAACCAAAAGTAGTTCTCAAGATGTGGGGGCAAATAGCTATCGTCACAGTTGTTTGCAATGTGAGAAGGTACCCGGGCTGGTGCGACCTGTAGCAGTTTGCCATAGTGTGTGCGTGATCTCTTTTTGAAGCTTGTGCAGAAAGGAAAACAGTCAGGGGCCGTAGGAGATGCCCGAGGCAGAAAGGGAGAGCAGAGATGCGGGTCTGCTCTCCGCCTGGATAGAAGCCTTTCTGCCTGTGGTTCATCTCATCCAAGTGGGAGAAAGGTAGAGGGAATTCAGAATCTGAGAGCATCTTGGAATCTGCTCTGAGCACACAGTGAAGAGGAGCCTGGCCCAGAGAGGAGACCCGCCCTGCCCAAGGTCGTGCACTGGTCCGTCTCCAGGCAAGTGGACTGAGGACCAGGTCAGGGTCACCATCCTCATCACGTGGCCTCCAATAGCCCCTGGTCTGCTGTCGCCCCACGAGGGCCTGGAGGCCCTGGCTCTGGGTCTGAGGTCCCACCATCCTCCTCCTCCCTGTCAAGGACATGACTCCTTGCTGGCCGTGCTGCTCGTGGTGTCCTAGTGAAAAGCGGGCACACTTGCGCCCAATGTGCCTTGGCGACACGAGCGGCACCGCGCCCTGCTCCGCCGGTCTGGTCCCCGCTGGGCCCTGCCCAGGATAGGCCGGGCCGTTCTCTGTATTTGTATTTGTATTCTTACGTTTGTACTTCTAATACAAATAAATGCACATGTTGTCAGAAATATCGGAGCCAGGAGTCTTTCTGGTTTTGGGTGGCCAAACAGAAGGTCAGGGAAAGGGGTAAGTAAGACCTCTGTGGTTCACCCTGGGGGACCTCGCCCACCAGAGGGGCTGTAACACCAACTGCCCGTCTCAGAGCCTTGCACCTGCACTAGGCTTGCGCGGAGGCAGCTTCTGCAAATGTTGGGAAAGGGGGAAAGTTAAAGGTAGCCTATGGCCACGGGATGTGCCCTCCTCCTCCTCCTCTGCTACAGCCCATAAACAGAGTCCCTCTCAAGCACCCCCTCCCCGCCAGAGCAGCACAGCCCGCTCCAGCCAAGTCAGGAAGGCAGGGACAGTCCTGAGGGCCCCACTTGCAGTCCAGGTGAGGGTTAAATAGCGTGGGCAGGGTTCTGGGCTCCTGCCCCTACACCATCCATGCATCGGGGAGACGTGGCTCCCCCCAAAGTCTGAAGAGTGGCTGGACAGTAGAGCAGGCGCTGCAGCCCCACACTAGGTGAAAGTGTGCCTTTGCAAACATGACCCCAAACCAATGGCGACAGCTACCGCCAAGGGCAGGCAGACTTTCTACTCTGCTTTTGTCAACTTGAACTGAGCCCATTTACTGTCCCCTAATTGACCCTAGTATTTACAATTATGTTTACAACCTCATGAAAAATTAATGTAACTCTTAACTGATCAATGGTGAGAGTATTGAAAGGAAAACTGGCCTGTTCTTACTCGGCAAATGTTCCAAGGCTTTGGAAGCACTCAGCAGTGCTTA